AATCATCAGTGAGATAAAATACCGAATATTCTGCAAATGCAGTGCTTTTTGCAAAACACTGCGTAAAGATTGCTTCAGTTATTGGAACTTTTTTTAAAGAGGAAAAGACCAAAAAAAATAGTACCATGAAGCTGGTAGGAGAGGGAAGGAATGCTACTTCCAGGATGGGAAGGAAGCATAGTCTGTCATATATTTCTACGTGTCATGGGGGGCTTATTCTACCTAACTGCACCCTAAGGTTCTGATGATCCTGAAACCTGGAGGCGGCCACTGTCAGGCCAGCTGAGGGCAGGAGAGTGAGGAGAAGAATTTATGCCATCCTATCTGCTCCTTTTGAATTTGATAGCCCCCCTTCATCCCTGAATTTGCCAAACTAAAGGAGTCAGATACATGTCCTTTAGAAGAATGATTTGATTTGGTTGATGGTAGGTTTTTGCTGAAGCCAAGAGCAGGAGAGAGGCCCCAGGCCCGAGCTTGCTCTCACCTCTTTTGGGTGCTCACAAAAAAAAAAGTCTAATGAACAAAGGAATTCAGACATGAAAGCCTGAAAAATAAATATGCAATTGTGTTAGGATCCCATGATTCATGTTTTATAGTCACATCCATGGAATGCACTGTAAATCCACTGGAATGCTGTGTATCTGTCTACACTATGGAGGGATGTTACATAATAGAAACCCATCCACTGGCTGTGGAGAACGCCCATCATTTATTTCCCTGCACTATTGTTTTGCAGGTGGAAGAAGCTGGCGCCCTTCTTAGAGACGAGAGCCACCTCATGTCACAAACCCACTCCACCTGACTTAGTGTCAGGTGCCATGTTTGGCAGATGGCACGCGCTTGCCCAGACAGGAAGCTTCATTCTCTGCCAGTCACTCTCAGAAGCCAGCCTAGTTCTTGCTTATGGATCTCAAATATCCATCTCATGTTAATAAAGAGACCAGCTTCAACCAGATGTCGAGTTTTTCCTTCAAAATTCAGTATGGCCACATTGATATACTACGCTTTGTACGTGTCTGATTGTGCATGTGTGCTTATAGGTTATGGATCCAAAATTATTGGGATCAAAGGTCCTGAGGCCTGCGTTCTGTAGAGTGCAGCTTTAACATAAAGGCGTGTCACAGAGGTTCAGGGTGACACAACATTTGGTGAGACTGCAGGACCAATGCACGGCCAGCACAGTTCACTAGTCAACCAGTATCATGAACAGTGTCTACTTAGAACAAGACAGGGTGGTGCAGGACCAAGGCACGGCCAGCACAGTTCACTAGTCAACCAGTATCATGAACAGTGTCTACTTAGAACAAGACAGGGTGGTGCAGGACCAATGCACGGCCAGCACAGTTCACTAGTCAACCAGTATCATGAACAGTGTCTACTTAGAACAAGACAGGGTGGTGCAGGACCAATGCACGGCCAGCACAGTTCACTAGTCAACCAGTATCATGAACACTGTCTACTTAGAACAAGACAGGGTGGTGCAGGACCAAGGCATGGCCAGCACAGTTCACTAGTCAAACAGTATCAAGAACAGTGTCTACTTAGAACAAGACAGGGTGGGGTAGGCACAAGTGAACAGCACAAGAGGAATACAAGATAACCCTTGTGTTTAGTCAAGGACACAGTGCAAAGGTCACATCCCAGGGCAGGCTGGAGGCTTTATGGGATGTCATGTAGCGAATTCAGACTTGGGCATATTTTATGTACAGGTTTGGAAAATCTGTATATGTTTCCTCTTTTATTTTCCTGTAGTAGTCTAAGCTGCATATTGCTCTTTTTTTTTTTTTCTCATACCAGCTTTAGCTAAGCCTCTGTGTAGAATCCCCATAGAAGGCAACTTTCGGTGGCCTTGCTTGTCAGTGTCACCTGGTCAAGATAAGGAGTTCTAAGCCCTCCAGTGCACAGATCTACGCTGGCATCCTGACAAGAGCTGGGAGATAACCTCTGTTTCATCGCCGCTCACTCTCTCTGTCCTCAGAGCTCGCCGTCTTCACACTACCTCTCACCACTGACCCGATGCTTCCTTCATGCCCGGCGATGGCCAACTTCCCATCAGGTATCCCCTCACTGCTATTTATTCTGCAAGGTCCCGCAAACCACGGTCCCTGCCCACCAGTAGAATTCTCCAGCACTAAAAGTCTCCATATTGGACAGGTGGGAACCATGGTGACCTGCACACTGCAGGGGAGAGCAAAATGAACTAAAGGACTAAAAGAAGAAAAAAGTGCAGATGCATGTTTTCCTCACACCACACACACCAGTAGTTAGTTGTTGAACTCCAGTGTGCCCCCAAATCATGATGCACGCTGACCAACACCGGGAATTAACGTCATCTCCTTGGATCCTGAGACCCTAGGGCTCCCATTGACAGAGTCTGGGGTTTCCACCGTAGTGATGAAATGACAGTTTATGCGGCAAGAGCCTATGGGTGATTCGGTCTGTGCTTGTGAGAGGCGATGGTCCCAGGAGACCTCAGTGTGGGTGCCTTTATCCCAACATTCCTTATCAGCCCCCCACAGAAGCCATGAGGACAGAGACAGACCTGCACAATGGAGGAAACATGCAGAGAATAGAGCAAAACAAGTGCTTCGGCCCATCTGTAGCATTTCTGTTCATTTCACGATTCGTAGACTACTTTTACTATATTAACCTTTGTCATCAATTGCTCTGTTCCTATATGATTATTCACTGTTGACTCCACCAAGATACCCACCAACTGATCCAAAAGTTTAGATGGAACACTCATTGTAAGTCTAGTATGGTATTGACTCAGTGATGTATATATAGATACACACACACACACACACACACACACACACACACATACACACATCTCTAGAGATTACACTGGGTGAGGATGCTGGAATTGAACACTTCAATGTCGCTAAGACAGTAAAACTAATCTCTGTCTTGTGTGTCTGCACATGCACATAAGAAATCATATGAGGATAACCAGTGATGATTAAATGAGTACGATGAAGACATGAGAGTTTGGAACTGTAACTTCCCAAATGCTACGGCCAGGCCCACAACACACCCAACTGATCCAAAAACCTCTTACACCCAGGAAGGGCAAAAGCCATTGAGATTCAAGTAGTAGTGCACATGAATGAACTACAGATTTGACTCAATAGGAAAAATAAACCAGAGTCAATACAATGGAGATTCACAGCATAGGCTAGAACTCGGTTGAGACTTTAGGCTGGAAGGACATCCTCTCCCCCGCAGCCTCTCTTCAACAGCAATGATGAAAGACAGAAGATGCAAAGCATGCTGCCTCAGTGCCCAAATAGGCCATGATCCCGCCAGTACACTTAGAGCAGCGAAGTCCTGTACTGGGAGTTGAAACTGACAGCTCATCTGTCTGGTTTCACTAAACTCTACAGAGCTTCACAGTTTGGCAGGGGTGAGACTCTTGTCAGCCTCTCAATCCATTCCAACAAGGACACCATGGGAAATGGAAGGAGGCCATTCACCAGCCTTTCCGAGGGACTCCTAGCTCTAAGTGGACTAAACCCTCCTTGAATTCGGGAAATGAAAAAGAGGCTTTTCCCTCTCTCCAGAATCCTGAGAAAATTATTTCCATGACACATCCATATTGATGGCATTAGGTAAGGAAGTAAATAAACAGGTAGTTGGTGATTTTTCTCTATCACTGAATGATACTGGCTGATTGTTGTTGAAGCTAGAGTCCCCTTTCTGTGAAAGCACGCGTGTGCACACGGGCGATCACACACCCACATGCTTACACATTCTTACACACAGAGGACCTGTCCTTCTTCATGAGAAACACTTGTCTTAGGAGTTGCTGGGTGCTCAGGATTCTGAGCCGGACTGGGTGAAGCATGGGAATAAATGGTGCAGTGACTCTCTGGGAAGTCACATTTGTCCCCAGAACTTCAGTCACCTGGAGACCACACCTCATCGCTTGCTTTAGTTCAGTCCTGACAGTGGAGGATGAGTGCAAAAATCTCATTTGAGCAACCAAATTTGAATTATCACCCCTCACAGCAATATACACCTATATCTATATCTCTCTCTATGTGATCTGTATCACTCGTGGCAGATATATATGTGTATTAGATGCTGACACAGTCCCTCGTTCCTTATCATTTCTGTTGATTGTGGGATGATACCTTGTCCCTTCTTTATTTGTCTTCCTGGGGTGTTATAATCTTGCTTTCACTTGGATTTTCTTGTAGGAAAAGAAGGATAGCAGGATGAAATAAAGTCATTCCTAGGTGAGGAATTAGGTGTTTTTTCCCCCCACTCCTCTTTTTATACACAGAACATTTCTGCTTCTTTTGCCACACAAAATTCACATGCACACAACTCCTGGAATTTTCAGTCATAAACCCACAGACACACAGACACAGACACAGACACAGACACAGACACACACACACACACACACACACACACACACACTGAGTACCAATCTACAAACTCCCAGGTGTAAAAGAAAGAAAGAAAGAAAAATCAAGCCAGGCTGAAGATGGAGGTAGGTGGAGAGATGGCACCAAGTGGATGTGTAATCAGTAATAAGAAGTACATGGATCCCCAGAATGAAAAGAAATGCCCCCCATCACAATTGTTCAGGACTCCCCCTTCCCTCCCCTTCCTCCCCCTCCCTCTCCCTCCCATTTTTGATTTATTAACCCTGAACAAAGAGGTCATTGCAGGGTCTCAGAAAACTTTTCTTGGGGAGGGGGGGCTGTCTGCTCATTTTTTCCCTCCCTTTTTATTTTTTTAAATTTTAATTATTTTTTTCTCTCTTGGCCATTGATTTGGCCTTGAATGAAGACTCTAAGCCACCCCCTTCGGGGGCCTATTTCCTTCACTCCTTCACCCATCTTTCCCTCTCCCCTGCCCCCTCCCCCCTCCCCCCCCCCCCCCCAGGAAGCTAGGTGTCCAGGGATCGAGACCTCTGCATTTCTTTGCTCGTTTAGGGCAAGAAATGGAAGTTTCCCGCGGGGCAGGAGCATGCAGGAGGCGCCTACCTTCAATTTAGTGCTCGGGTACCTCATGGGTACCCTGGCTGAGGTCTTATTGGAGACGGCAGCCTGTCTGAGGTCCTCTAGCACTGAAATAATATCATCCAGCACGCATCTCTTATCCTGATTCCTCAACACACACAGATGGGAAAAAGTATAGTTATAGCCCTTGTGCTTCACCTTCATGCCGAGCACGGCGCGGTGGGTCTGCAGCACGCGCTCCGCCTGGAGCAGGATGTCGCCGCCGGGCGGGGCGAGCAGGATGAGGCGGCCATAGCGCCCGGGGGTGTGCAAGTCCGAGTAGAGCTGGCTGCGGGACTGGTCCAGCGGGAAGAGGCTGCCGGCCAGGCTGCGCTCGATCTTGGCCAGGCTGTGGCTGGGGGCCACCAGGCGCTCCAGGTCGCCCTCGGGCTGGAAGCGGCGGAGCGCGCTGAGGCCGAGGGCCGCGGTCAGCACGGCGGGCACGGTGAGGAACAGGACCGGGTGCCGGCTCACGCACAAGCCCAGCCCGCGGCAGCACGCCCG